TACTAAAAAATACAAAATTAGCTGGTGTGGTGGCGCCATGCCTGTATCCCGCTACTCGGGAGGCTGAGGCAGGATAATCACTTGAATCGGGGGGCGGAGGTTGCAGCGAGCCAAGATCGCACCACTGCACTCTGCCTGTGCGACAGAGCAAGACTCTATCTCAGAAAAAAAAAAAAAAAGGCTCACAAATCAGTGTAGAAAATTAGGAGGGCATATTTGCTTTACAGTAGGATACATTTTTAGTTTGAGCTTTTTGGTGGATTTGTTTTGACACTAAGTACATTCTATGTTGCAGCACACACAAAAGACATGCCATTTACATGTGAAACCTGTGGAAAATCATTCAAACGCAGTATGTCACTCAAGGTGCACTCCTTGCAGCATTCTGGAGAGAAGCCCTTCAGATGCGAGGTAAGGAATGTGCTACCTACAGGCCCAGGCCTAGGGGTTAGTGTTTGCATAGATGGTGTACCAGTGAGAGAGAGGTATGCTGGAGCAGGAGGCACAAAGCTGCCTTCCACAGAACCTTCTGAGCTCGGTGTGTTCTGAACTCGGTGTGTGCTGTCACTGCCTGAGCTTGGTGTGTGCTGTCACTGCAAGGTAGAAAAATGTCACTTTTAACGCACTGTTAACTCTTAGATTAGGTTAACTTAGAAGTAACACACAATGACTTATTTTTCTTTTCTCAGTGATTCTGAGAAGTCGAGTATACTTCAATGTTAATTTTGTGAGAAAATTTCCCTTTTATTAGTAACTCACCTGCAGAAATATAGCAAAGCCAAATAGCTGACACAAGCAGGTTCTATTTTGAGTATGAAAAATAAGCCTAATATCAGAGACTATGTTAGGGTGGGCTCAGGTAAAGCTACTATGCTTGGCATTCAAAAATCTCCAACTGTGTCCAATGCAGAACTGTGACGAAAGGTTTCAGTACAAGTACCAGCTACGCTCCCACATGAGCATTCATATTGGGCACAAACAGTTCATGTGCCAGTGGTGTGGCAAGGATTTCAACATGAAGCAGTACTTCGACGAACACATGAAAACACACACTGGTAAGAATTTCTTGGGAAAGATACAGATAATGTCTCAAGCACTTGTTGATCATCTGTGGGTCTGTTTTTTAAAAAATCAAAACCACAAATTTGCATATGAAGCAAAAATCTCACTTTAAATAAACCTAATATGTAAAAATGTAGATTAGTAATACTGAAAAATTTAGCTCTAATAACTCTGATTGTTTAAAAAAGAATTGTTTGTGAGTGCCTTTTAACTTTGAGCTCTTTTAAGACAATGAGGTCTTTGCATGGGATTCAGGAACTCCTGAAATTGTATGAAACTTGTTTTGTGTATGTGCATATGTTATTTTCCTAAGGAAAGGGTTCTGGAACTTACAAGGATGGAGGACACTGATTGCTTTAATAGAATACCCTTCTGGTTTTTTTTTTTTTTTTTTTTTTTTTTTTAAAGACAGGGTCTTGCTTCCATTACTCAGGCTGGAGGGCAGTGGCGCAGTCTCAGCTCGCTGCAGCCTCTACCTCCCAGGCTCAAGCCATCCTCCCACCTTAGCCAACCAAGTAGCTGGGACCACAGGTGCGCGCCACCATGGCTGGCTAATTTTTGTATTTTTTGTAGAGACAGGGTTTCACCATGTTGCCCAGGCTGGTCTCGATCTCCTGGGCTCAAGTGATCTGCCTGCGATCAGTCTCCCAAAGTGCTGGAATTACAGGTGTGAGCCACCAAGACAGCCCCTCTCAGTGTTCTTAAAGTTTGATTTTACATGATTTACAAAAATTCACTACTTTTCAGGAACACATCCATTCCGTGAGGTTAATTAATATTTTAACCACTTTGTGGTTTTAGGAGCATATGTTCCATAGCATGGATTTGAGTCTTACAAGCATTTGATTATCCTGCTTCCAGGGAACTGGCTAAAATAATAGCTCTCCTATAAACACTATCATTGTATCTCAGTCTAAACTTGATGTTCTGGGATTAGTCATCTTCGCATAAATTGAACAGGATGAAACATTTTTCAGGTTTCTAAATAAAATATAATGACAGGATTCCAGGTTCCATTAGTCTACAGAGTAGTGAAGCTAGAAAGAACAACAGAGATTATCTTGCTTAGCCTGCTGTTCTTTTTGCTTAACTAGTGGTGAGGAAATTCTGCCCATGGCTGGATCTCTTTAGTTCGCAGTTCTCTGTTGAAGCCCAAAGAAAAACGCCTACCTAGTGGGCTTCTTTCTCATTCAGAACAGAGCACCCTCAGATTTTAAGGATTTTTAGTCTAGATGAAGAGTCATGAAAGCAGTTTAATTAGTTAAATTAGACCTGAAAAGAAAATGATAACTTTGCAGATATAGCCAAGTGGATGGCAGGATGCATCAGAATAGTTAACAGATTCTCCTTATAATTTGGTGGCTCTTGGATAGGCTCTTAGTTCTAATGTCATTTTTAGGGTTCAGGTTTTTGTGTGTGTGATACGGCAAGAAAACATGGAACTAAACAGAGCGTAAGTTTTGGGGGTTTTTTGGTTTTCTTTCTTTCTTTTTTTTTTTGTTTTTCCTAGATGGAGTCTCGCTCTGTCACCCAGACTGAGTGCAGTGGCACGATCTTGGCTCACTGCAGTGCCACGATCTTGGCTCACTGCAACCTCCACCTCCCAAGGTTCAAGTGATTCTCCTGCCCCAGCCTCCCGAGTAGCTGAGATTACACGCGTTCACCACCACGCCTAATTTTTTTTTTTTTTTTTTTTTTAGTAGAGACAGGGTTTCACCATATTGGTGAGGCCAGTCTAGAACTCCTGACCTCAAATGATCCACCTGCCTTGGCCTCCCAAAGTGCTGGGATTACAGGCGTGAGCCACCACCCTTGGCCAGAACATAAGTTTTTTGTGAAGGTGGAAGTTGTGTCATATTCACACACACTGCTTGGCACATAGATGCTTGATAAATGTCACAGAATTGAAAGGAACCTCTAGCACTTAAGTCTCTGCCTCTGCATCCGCCTTATCTTACCTGCCTGTCTCCCTGTGTGCTTTTCTCCCCATTCCTTCCTCCCTCTTTCTCCTATATTTCTTTGTTTCTTCTCCTTTGTCATTTTTTTCTTTGGACCCTTAAATGTTCATAATGTGAAACTGAAGTGTTTCTTTCATGATTATTTTAGTTATTGTATAAATTTATGTTGAGTATTCGTCTTTGATCAAATAGGCAAACTGAATACTTCTTGTTTCTTCTAAAGCAATACAACTACCTAAATTCCCACCCCCTAAAAAATTATTATTATTATTATTATTATTATTCAGACGGAGTCTTTCTCTGTCACCCAGGCTGGAGTGCAGTGGTGTGACCTCCACTCACTGCAACCTCCACCTTCCAGGTTCAAGCAATTTTCCTGCCTCAGCCTCCCAAGTAGGTGGGCAGGTGCACACCACCGTGCCTGGCTAATTTGTGTATTTTTAATAGAGATGGGGTTTCACCATGTTGGCCAGGCTGGTCTTGAACTCCTGACCTCAGGTGATCCACCTGCCTTGGCTTCCCAAAGTGCTAGGATTACAGGCATGAGCTACCATGCCCAGTCCCCCAAATTTTTATCTTTCTCATTAAAGGTGTAATTCATATACACCTGGACGTGGTGGCTCACGCCTGTAATGCCAGCACTTTGGGAGGCCAAGGCAGGTGAATCTCTTGAGCCCAGAGGTTCAAGACCAGCCTGGGCAACATGGCAAAACCCCAGCTCTGCAAAAATACAAAAGTTAGCCATGGGTGGTGACACACGCTTGTGGTCCCAGCTACTTGGGAGACTGAGGCAGGGAGGATTGTTTGAACCCAGGAGATCGAGGCTGCAGTGAGCTGTGATTGTGTCACTTCACTCCAGCCTGGGCAACAGAGCAAGACCTGGTCTCAAAAATCAAAACAAACAAACCAAAAAAAGAGTAACACATACTTATTAAAATATATGAGAAACTATGAAAATTGCAAACAAAATAAAATCATGCCACCAAGAGATCACCACTCTTAACATTTTGGCATATACCCATTAAAAAAAATTCTTCAGTTTCTTAACACACATATAGACAGATACTTTGCATAAGTGTTTATGTGTTCATGTATATAGTAAAAACAAATGTTGGGTATTTATACTCTTGTAACCTGCTTTTTCTTTTGCTGTATTATGTCAGCAATATAATTTTAATGGCTATATAATATTTATTCTTGTAAATTTGCTATAATAGTAGCTATAATTTATTATACACATGTATGTCAGGCATTATCTTAAGTGCTTTATCTCATTTAATTAATGTACCCTTTGCAACAATCCTATAAAGTGAAGGATTTGTTTTGTTGTTGTTTGTTTTGAGATGGAGTTTTGCTCTGTTGCCCAGGCTGGAGTGCAGTGGCGCAATCTCAGCTCACTGCAACCTCCGCCTCTCAGGTTCAAGCAATTCTCCTGCCTCAGCCTCCTGAGTAGCTGGGATTATAGGCTCATGCCGCCATGCGCAGCTAATTTTTTTGTATTTTTAGTAGAGACGGGGGTTTCACTGTGTTGGCCAGGCTGGTCTCGAATTCCCAACCTCATGATCCGCTCGCCTTGGCCTCCCAAAGTGCTGGGATTATAAAGGGATAAAGACGAGCCACTGCCGCCTGCCTTTTTTTTTTTTTTTTTATGTAAGACAGAGTCTCTCTGTGCCCGACCTGGCCCGATCCGGTCTTCACCACAAACCTCTACCTTCCCAGGTTAGTGATTTTGCTGATGCCTCAGCCCGCCAAAAGACCTTTTTTCTGGGATTGACAGGCACATGCCCACCACGCCTGCTAGTTTCTTTCTTTTAGCTCAAAACGGGTTTCACCATCTGTTGGCCCAGGCTGGTCCTGAATCCGACCTCAGTGATCCCCCGCCTCCAGCCTCCAAACTCCTGGGATTCAGACATCGAGCCCCCACACCCCTGAGCCTGGCCCAGTGAAGATATT